ATCTAACAACCGAAAAGTAAAAGTGTTTACTGGATGGTGTGGCAGAGATTTAGTCTTGGTTCTATTCTCTTTTTTAAATAATCACAATAAATATATGTAACACTGTGCAGGCTATGTATTGTTGGACGGACCTGTGCTCTTTTAAAGGGGATTTCTTTAATGCTTTAAGATGAGAAATGTCAAGAAGGCATCTACATATGTGACGGAGCATGTAGTTGCCATCAGATTAATTTTAAAGGTGTGCACCGTCTGTCTAAAACAGAACAAAAAATCCAAATGTTGCTCTGTCAGTAAAACCAGTATCACCAGGATGTGCACATCTTCATCCTTGAAAGAGTGACCGCTGGCCTGGAGATGAGTGTAGACCGCAGAATCCTGGCCTGATGATGTTGATCTTCTGTGCTGGGCCATCCTTTTGGCCAGTGGCTGTTTAGTTTCCCCGATGTAAGACTGATCACCCTCCTGACACTGAACAGCATACACAACATTACTCTGTTTGTGCCGGGGGACTGGATCTTTGGGATGAACCAGTCTTTGCTGTAATGTATTTTGGGGTTTAAAAGCCACTGGGACGTTGTGTTTAGAAAATAAACGTCTCAGTTTCTCTGATACTCCCTCAACATATGGAATGACCACTGGTCTGGGTCTGGGTTCCTCCTTTTCACCTGATGGCTGACTGGAGTCCTGTTTGGGTTTCTTCTCTGCTTTCAGGAAGGCCCAGTTAGGATATCCACATTTATCTAGAGCCTGTCTTGTGTAGGATTTCTCCTTCTGCCTGGCTCCTGAGTTAGTGGGGACGCTGTCTGCTCTGTGGTACAGAGTCCTGATGACTCCTAACTTGTGCTCCAAAGGGTGATGGGAGTCAAACTGCAAATACTGGTCTGTGTGGGTGGGTTTGCAGTACACCTCGGTTTGCAAATGTCCTCTATCAGAGACTGAGACCTCACAGTCCAAGAAAGCCAACCTGCCATTTTTTACATCTTCTCGTGTGAACTTGATGTATTTATCCACAGAGTTGATGTGGTCAGTAAAATGTTGGACTTCCTGAGATTTAATTTTAACCCAGGTGTCGTCAACATACCTGAACCAATGACTTGGTGGTGTCCCTGAAAAGGACGTCAAGGCTCTCTTTTCTACCTCCTCCATGTACAGGTTGGCAACAATAGGAGAAACTGGAGACCCCATAGCACACCCATGTTTCCGCCTATAATATTGCTCCCCATATGTGAAGTAGGTTGACTGCTATTTATAAGACTGAGCTGAGTACAGCTCCTCAGACTGAAGAAGTCTTTCAGATGAAAGACGAAACGTTTCTACCTTTTTTTTTTGCTTTGTTTTGTTTTTTGAATGTCCAGAGGACCAGACTTAACTTTTTTAGATTTTTCTACCTGGATTATTGAGCATGCATCAGGATATGTTGTGGCTGTGGTTTGTCAAAAACTCTCACTTTTTATTATACAAAGGTGGACATTCTTATCATATAATCTCCATCTGTTCAACTTTCTCTTGTCCACCCACAGCTTCTGATCCTTCGGTATGATTTAATGAGACCTCATACACATCACTAGAGTGTCGTGATCTGTCCATCACAGCTCTAAGGTCAAGGTCACAAATCAAGGTCAAAGGTTATAGAAGGTGTTGGCATGTGAGGGCCGTTGCTATAGATTGCTGTATAATAGTTGATGTATGTATAGTATGGAGTACTCGTGTTATATCAGGAAGCTCTGCATAAACAAACATCATTCCAGTGAGCGCTACAATTCAATATTCTCTTTTATTTAATATCTGATCGAGCTGAACCAGAACTGAGTGGTGATGTGGAAACAATGTGGACCAGTGATCAGCGCTCAGCTGAACTCCTGCATCTCTTCACCTAATTGTTCACAGGGAAAAATCAGTCATTTGCAAATCTTTGCACAGTTTCAAATCTGTTCGCAAAATATCCGATACCCGCTGTGTCCAGTCTGCACAGCTCTCATGGTTTATTCTGAACCCCAGAGTTCAGAATTGTGTCATCTTTTGTCATAAAAGCTGTTTGTGCACTCTGGCTGTTCACGGCCCAATATTACGTAGAGAAGTCGAACTGAGCTACCGATACAATGAGATGTATAAGTAGTGTCATGTCAACATCTGGATGTTTCACCGCTCAAAGCTGACAGACTTTACATTTGACCTGAAATTATTCCATCCAGTTGAAAATCTAAATTTGGGACAATTTTTTAAACCTTTAATAATCCAAGAAGTCCAAGAGAATTTATAGTCTGTAAACACATTTAATCAATTATTAATCAGTTATTGAGCATTAGTTAAGAAAATAATCTTTGTGTGTGGATCGTTCTGACCTCTTCATCTATTTCTTACGGTGGCCCTAAGGTGTAAATGAACAACATTTGAAAAAACACAACAAAAACAACTAAATCACAACATATGAAAAAACAGAATTACATTAAGCCAAAGCTGAAGTGGCCCGAATCACATTAGAAAAAACAGAATCACATTTGAAAAAATGGAGTTACGTTTGGAAAAAATAAAATTACATTAAGCCAAACAAGAAGTTTTTTTTTTTTTTTTTACTTAACAGCATAAAACCGAAGAACAGAACAATATACAGTACACACAACGGAGATATGTGTGTACTGTATATTCTAAAAACATTGTCAGGTCTTCTGGATGTTCAAAAAACAACAAAAAAAAATAAATAAAATTGTAGAAACGTTTCGTCTTTCATCCGAAAGACTTCTTCAGTCTGAGGTGCTGTATTCAGCTCAGTCTTATAAATAGCACCTTCTCAGAGTGGATCAACCAGTTTGTTGTCGATATTCAAAACCAGCTGTTCACATGATCAAGAAGGACCATCAGCCTAACAATGGATCATTAGCACACTGATGGCTGTTTACTATTCACAGAGGGCTGAGTGATACTAGCAATCACAGCATTGTAAGAGGGGGACGGTTGAACACGGAGGCCTGCATTTCTCCTGAGCGGTGCGGCGAAATGCAGCTGATTGGACGTTTGCTCCAGGAGTTCCAGAGCGAGACGAATGTGGCTGACTGTGGCAAGCCAAGTCAGAGTCAGAGTCAGAGTCAGAGTTTCTTTATTGTCATTCACACCTCATGTGGTACATGTGGTGGAGCGAAATTATGTACACAGGGTCCCAGTTACATCCAACAATAAAATGTCTAAGAAAAACAGTAATAACATCTAAGATATGAACTAAGAAAAACATCAACTAAATATACACTAAGCACTCATAACATAAAACATTAAACATCAGCACAAACATGAACATGAGTCTGTGAGCAGATGTGCACGCATGAACACATCAACATTAAAACAGATCAGCAGCAACATGAAACAGATCAGCAGCAACATGATATGGTTTTTCGCAGTGATTAACCTGGTTAGAGATTCATGAGTCTAACAGCCTCAGGGTAGAAGCTGTTCCTCAGTCCAGCGGTTCCACACCCAATGCTCCTCAACCTCCTTCCTGAGGGGAGCGGGGCAAAAAGTGTGTGCGCTGGGTGAGTGGGGTCCTTCATGATGCAGGTGGCCCTCCTCCTGCATCTGGAGGTGTAGATGTCTGTGATGGTGGGGAGGCTGATTCCGACAGATTTCTGTGCAGTGTCTCATTAATAGCCACTTTTACCTATTAATTAAACACTTGGCTTGCCATATTGCTCTAGGACCCTCTAGTGGCTGAAAATGGAAGTGTTCAATATTTTTCATGTCAAAATGAATAACATCGTCAGATCTCAGTCAAAAATTTAGTTATAAATATAGAGGAAAAATAATGTATGTTAGTCGCTTCGGTGTATAAGTCACAGGATTCGCAAATGTATGCAAAAATGTGCGACTTATACAACGAAAAATATGGTAATTAGTCAGGATTCTGTATTGTTCTCAGAATTCTGACTTTAATCCTCAAAAAATTGAAGAAAGAAGTTGTGATTCTAAACAAATAAAAACATTTAACACCACAGCTCTAATCCTCTTCTGTACCTTTCTCTAAGATAAGATAACTTTATTGATCCTGCAGGAAATTGTTGTGCCAGAGTTGCAATACAAAGGAGCTTACACAAGGAATCTCTTCTTTCCTTTAGCTCAACTTCAGTGTTTATTTTCCTCAATTTTGATTTAAGTTCCCAGCCTCACTACACACATCAAATCTCTGCTGTTTCTTTAATTAATATTTATACACGAACGATGAACACAGACTACCTAAATTACAGCTGGTAGCCACTTATTGAGTTACATTAGCATCATTTAGCTTTCTGCTTCCGTTTTCATCTAATGTTGCTTAAAATGTATTTATATCAGTGCTTTGTTTTTTTTGTTGTCAAACTCAGTTTTAAAAGTTTTAAATCAAAGTGATAATTTTGGAGCAGCTTTCTAATGCTTTAAAAGGTTGGATAAAGTCACCTTGGTCAGTAAGAACGTATGATGTCAGATTTACGAGACTAAAACCTCCCACAGAGGGCAAGTTTACTGGAGACACCTGGCTGAGTTCAGTGAAGTCCACAAATCAGAGGCTGTAACGGGAGGTTGAGATGTTTTTGTCATCGAGGACGTTAAAGCCTCAAAAGGTGAAGCAGCGTGATCTATAAATCTATCCTAACTCTGACAGGGAGGTAAGGCCAGAGCCGATGTGTGTTGTTTAAACCAGTGATTCCCAGTTCTGGTCCTCGAGGAATACTACCCTGCATGGTTTAGTTGTTTCCTGCTCCAGCACACCTGATTCAGTGATTTAATTACTTCAAGTTCTGCAGAAGCCTGTTACTCACCCATTCATTCAAACCAGGTGTGCCAAAGCTTGAAAACGACTAAAACATGCAGGATGGTGTTCCTCAAGGACCATGGTTGGGAACCATGGGTTTAAACATCAATCCCTGTTTAATCTGACTCAAGATGACTGATAACTTTTCTGTGCTTAGTTTTCAGCCTTGTTTTTGTTTGTGGTTTAGATTAACAGTTGGTTTGTGTTCATGTGTAACTGTTTTTAGCACCACACCAACTTAAATTCAGTTGCCCGGTCCAAGAGCAGAGAGAGGGAAGTGGAGAAGAAAGACACAGAGAACGCACAAGGCCGATCCAAAGAGAAGAAGGAAGAAAAGGATCGGAAAGAAAGGAAAAGAGTGAGCATCTTTAGCTTTCATTCTTTTTCATTTTTTTGTCTCTTTTTTTACTTTAGGAAAGTTAGTGTTCCTAGGGATGCACCATATTGGATTTTTGGCTGATATCCGATATGCCAATATGTTAAAACTTTTTTGGCTGAACCAATACCAGTACCGATGTATTTTTTTCCCCTAGACCTACTTACATAGACTACATAGCTTTCTCTGCTGTGGAGTTAAAATACATTATTCTGTATGGTCTTTGTCAATTTGTCCTGCTACCAAATGTAGATGCCAAAAAGGGGACTGAAAATGACGTTACACTTCAACTTGGATTATGTTTAATGTCAAATTTATTCATGACATTTACTCTCTAACGCAATGACAACACTCGAACAGTACAAATTTGAACTTTTCACAAATCTAAACTCAACGGCGCGCGTGACGTCATAACGTTGTACTGGCACCGCAGGCATCCTTGTCACTGGGTTGTCATACAAAAACAGCACCTTTATTCATATATATATATATTAGCGCCTTTTATATCGGTGAGTTATTTTGATGGAATGGCCGATTTCCGATATTTAACTGTATCGCAAATATCAGCCGATACCATGCCGGTAATATCGTGCATCCCTAAGTGTTCCTATTAGTTGAATATATCATGGGTTTTTGTGTTAAACAAGAAAAAAATATGTAGATACTACTTTTAGTCTTTCAGAGTTTGTCAGGATTTTATTGTCGTCGTTCCTCTTTCAGGATCACACCGTTGCTGACCGTGAGGTGAGCCAGGAAAACAAGCGCAGAAAGGATGAGAATGGCACCAGTGAGTGTTTGGTTCTGTAAAATCTGAGGTGTCTTGGCTAGTCAAAGACAAAAGTTCAACTGACAGTATCTTTCCCCTCCAGACTCTTCTAAAAACAGCCAGAGCACAAGTCCGTCTTGTGGCTCTCCACTGTCGCCTGAAAAGGAGAAAAGCAAAAGATCCAAATCTTCCAGCAAAGAAAAGGTCGAGTCTGTGAAACCTGAGCGAGCGTCCTCTGGAGGCAAAAAGGTCAGCTCAGCTCTTTTTACAACTTCCAAAAGGTAATTTGATTTCTGATGGTCCATTCCAACTTGTGCCTCTCGGTTGCTGCAGGAGTCTCGACATGACAAAGAGAAGAAAGAGAAGAGCAGCGGTGGAAAGGAGGAGAAAAAACAATATCCTTAACTTACAGACCTTGTATTTGTTTATTTTACTGCTGAACTTAACATCCCAAACAAAGCAGTGGTTTGATCCGAAACTAGGTAAACATTTAAGTTTAAAACCTCTACAGTCCAGCAGCATTAAACTTTCATTAGGATAATTATTTAAATTATTTTTTGCGTCGCTTAACAGACTCAAAGGTAGTAAATGTTTCTGTGAGAATCCATCCACTAAAAGTACCTTTTTGTTCCCTGAAATGGAGCAAAGTGGGGAATCGGAAATACCTTCCAGTCCATGTTATGAGTTTGAAATCCAAGATGGCCACCACCATTTATGCATGTAAACCTTGTGAGTTCGACAATTTGGAAAAATAAGCAACTTTAATTTTGGGACGTTGTTGCATCTAGGTGTAAAAAAGGAAACTTTCAAAAATGGGGTCACCACATCAAAGTTCAAGATGGCCACCTTTATTTATATATATACATTATATATATACATAATATATATTATATATGTGTACACACACTACATTGCCAAAAGTATTTGCTCACCCATCCAAATTATCAGAATCGGGTGTTCCAATCTCTTCCATGGCCACAGGTGTATAAAATGAAGCACCTAGGCATGCAGACTGTTTTTACAAACATTGTGAAAGAATGGGTTGCTCTCGGAAGCTCAGTGAAATCCAGCGTGGAACTGATAGGATGCAACAAATCCAGTCGTGAAATTTCCTCTCCTAAATATTCCACAGTCAACTGTCAGCTGTATTATAAGAAAATGGAAGTGTTTGGGAATGACAGCAACTCAGTCACAAAGTGGTAGGCCACGTAAACTGACGGAGCGGGGTCAGCGGATGCTGAAGCGCAGAGTGCGAAGAGGTCGCTAACTTTTTGCAGAGTCAATCACTACAGACCTCCAAACTTCATGTGGCCTTCAGATTAGCTCAAGAACCGTTAGCAGAACTTCATGGAATGGGTTTCCATGATCGAGCAGCTGCATCCAAGCCGTACATCGCCAAGTGCAATGCCAAGCATCGGATGCAGTGGTGTACAGCACGCGGCCACTGGACTCTAGAGCAGTGGAGGCGCGTCCTCTGGAGTGATGAATCGCGCTTCTCCATCTGATAATCTGATGGACAAGTCTGGGTTTGACGGTTGCCAGGAGAACGGCACTTGTCTGACTGCATTGTGTCGAGTGTAAAGTTTGGTGGAGGGGGATTAAGGTGTGGGGTTGTTTTTCAGGAGCTGGGCTTGGCCCCTTAGTTCCAGTGAAAGGAACTCTTGACTGCTTCAGCATACCAAGACATTTTGGACAATTCCATGCTCCCAACTTTGTGGGAACAGTTTGGAGCTGCCCCCTTCCTCTTCCAACATGACTGTGCACCAGTGCACAAAGCAAGGTCCATAAAGACATGGATGGCAGAGTCTGATGTGGATGAACTTGACTGGCCTGCACAGAGTCCTGACCTCAACCCAATAGAACACCTTTGGGATGAATTAGAGCAGAGACTGAGAGCCAGGCCTTCTCGTCCAACATCAGTATATGACCTCACAAATGCACTTCTGGAAGAATGGTCAAAAATCCCCATAAACACACTCCTAAACCTGTGGACAGTCTTCCCAGAAGAGTTGAAGCTGTTCTAGCTGCAAAGGGTGGACCAACGTCATATTGAACCCTACGGATTAGGAATGGGATGTCACTTAAGCTCATATGTGACTCAAGGCAGGTGAACAAATACTTTTGGCAATGTAGTGTGTGTGTATATAAATATAAATATATATATATATATATATATATATATATATATATATATATATATATATATATATATATATTTGTGTGTGTAAACCAGCCACCCCAATCATTTGAAGAAAAAGTTTCTAGTTTTTATATTTCTTAAAGTAGTTTCCTGAAATGTTTGTGGCGAAGATGAATCTGTGGTGGTCAAGGCCACCATTTCCTTCAGCTCCAGTCCAGAAAAACACTCGTCTCCAAAAAGACAAACGTTCACTTTTCAAATCCACGACGGGGGACACCAGCGCTGTTTTAACTTTAATGATCAGAATAATTTTTATCTTGTAAACGTGACACTTGTTTCAGTCTTCAGTTTCTGTTCTGGTGGGTCGAGCTAAAATTCTCTTTTTTTTTTTTTCACAGCCGGGTTCAGATTATTTTAGACGCATGTCAGCACAAAAGTCATCAGTTAAATATGAATGTTTTAGTCATTTCTTGTAAAGGAAATAAAAAAAAAAACAACACTTTTTGGAGAGATGCAGTTCAAGTTTTTAATTTTTTTTTATTCCCCCGCCCAAAACTTTTTTCTTAACAGTCGTACTCATAAATCGTCCGACAAGCACAGATAATGTGCGCCCATCAGTGAAGGTAAGAACCCTTCAGGTTCTTTTTTTATTCCCCCAGCGCCCTTCAGTTTAAAACTCTTGACATGACATGTTTCTGTGTTTGACCCAAACAGAACTGGATAATCTGCGTTTTTATCAGCAAGACATCTTCATCGCCACCTGCACCTCATCATACACTTGTATTATTTTCTCCACTACTGTCGTTAGTTGTAGCTATTATTTAGTTCACCCCGTTACTTTTCCCCTTCGATTGTTTAGCCAGCTGAAATTTATACACATTTTCCCTTTTTTTTAAATTATTTTTGTTCAGAATGGGCACAACTTGCTGCTGTAATCACAGTGTTATGATGAAATGTGGTTACTGTATGAAATGGTAATTTCTTGGTAGAATCTGGTCATTGGTTCAATAATTCCAAGCTTGAAAATAAGTTTTAGTTTTTTTGTAAGTTATCAGGCCTCACCTTTCTGCTTGTTTTATGGGATTTAATGTGCTGTCAGTACTCGCCTCACATCCTCTTGAGACACTTTTATTTATCTCCTCCTTTTAATCTGTTAAACAGCAGTGAGAAAAACCCGACGGACCAGTTTGTATATTGTGTACATTAATGAAGAGGGTAACATGAAACTCGCATCATGTTATTTCTTTTTTTTTCTCCTCCTTCTTTTGGTGTCCCATACAGTTCTGTGATTTCTGTGTTAATCAGGTTTTTACATAATTTATATTAAAAAAAAAAAGGTCTGTTCAATTTAAATTCAAATGTAAAGAAAATAATCTGCGGTGAAAACATTTTGACTTTCTGTACTCCAAATACAGCCGTTTCAGAAATGACCTTTGGAGATTTTATCTGCTGTACTCAATGAGTGTATTTTTTTTTTTTTAAGAAAAAAAAAAAGAAACCCAATAAATAATAGTTTTCTTAGTGTCACTTTAATATTGTTTCCTTTTTTTAAATTCTCTTCAGACATGTAGGTTGATATTTTCCAATCTTATTTAATTAAAAAACATGCCCTTGAACAATATCCTAGAAATAATATAAACTTGTTTTAACTGGCCATGAGGTAGTGCTCTGAAATATAAATTAAGTTCAGACAATTGTTAAAACTACAAAAAAATCTGTAAAATCAGTTTGTCGTAATTATCCCAAAATTAAGGAAATCGGGGCCGATTTATTGGTGCACCCCTAAAATCCACTGCAGAAAGTATCTGCAGGTGTCTGAGGTGATTGTGACCTTATAACACCTGACGGTGTCGCTTACAAAACAAAATCGGTATCGTCAGGTCAGGCTTTTTAGAGATGAGCCAGAAAACTAATCAGTGCGCCCCTAGTGGATTTGAAATCAAAATAGAATTAAACTGTTTTATCACCTGCTAATGTTTTTTCCTAAGTGTCCATGTGTTTGTTAGTCATGTTAGCAAAATATTTTATAAACTACTGAACACATTTTAAGAAAGCTCGGGTACGAAGATAAATTAGTCTCAGGAGTGAGAAGTTCAGTTATCCAGGAGCTGCTCCTCCACATCAAGAGGAGCCAGTTGAGGTGGTTCAGGCATCTGGTAAGGATGCTCCCTGGGCACCTCCCTAGGGAGGTGCTTCGGGCATGTCAGACTGGGAGGAGACTCCGAGGAAGACCCACTGTCTCGGGTGGCATCACAGAAGGGCTGGAAGAGGTGCTGTGGAAAGAGATGTCTGGACCTCCCTGCTCAAGTTGCTGCCCCCACAGCAGCTTCAGAACACTGGAAGATGATGGATGGATGAAGGTCACAAGTATACAAGATTTGTATGAGTTCAACATTCACAAATGCATAAATGTCCACATTTCAAAATGCACAAGCAGGAATATTCTGCACTTATAAACTAGGTTTTTCTTCATGTGGACAATCTTGTAGGTGGGGGGTGGGGAATAAATATACATATATATTTTTGGCTGCTGTTTTTCGGGGGTCACCGCAGCGAACTAACTTGCACGAAGATTTTTACGCTGGATGCCCTTCCTGACACAACCACAGACCACCGAGCTACCACAGCCCTCTGTTGAGCAGAGAACTGTTGACCAGGGCACCCAGGGGAGCAGATGGTGGGGGTTAAGGGCCTTGCTCAAGGGCCTAGAGGGACAAATGAGGGTGGAGTCCGGTGTGGGCGCTTGACCTTTCCTACCCACATTTTGATCATGTCGGTCCAGGGAGTTTTACCGCTGACCTGATCACCTTCTCTGACCTCTGCTCCACCACTCCAGGTGAAACGCCTGGAGAGCTGGTGCAAAGAGAATAACCTTCACATCAATGTGAAGAAGACAAAGAGATGATTGTGGACTTCGGAACAAACACACCTACACCCCACTGAACATAGGATCTGCAGTGGAAGTGGTCTCCAGCTACAAGGACTTGGGTGTACACATGAATGACAACCTCAGCTGGAGCAACAACACCACCAGCCTGATCAAGAAAGGAGCAACAACACCACCAACCTGATCAAGAAAGCTCATCAGAGACTCTACTTCCTCAGGCGGCTGAGACGAGCTGGTCTGAGAAGCTCAGTCCTCACCACCTCCTACAGGTGTGCAGTGGAGAACATCCTGTGCTCCAGCATCAACGTGGCATGGAGGCTGCACAGCTGCAGAAAGAGAAGCTCTACAGAGAGTGGTGAAGGCTGCACAGAAGTCTGTCGGAGTCAGTCTCCCCACCATCACAGACATTTACACCTCCAGATGCAGGAAGAGGGGCACTTGCATCATGAAGGACCCCACACCCACTTTTTGCCCCGCTTCCCTCAGGAAGGAGGCTGAGGAGCATTAAGTGTAGAACAACTAGTCTGAGGAAGAGCTTCTACCCTGAGGCTGTTAGACTCATGAATCTCTAACCACTCCCACAGGGAATGTATATAATATATATTACTGGAAAATACATTTTCCATTACTTTTTCCTCTACCAAAAGAATACCCAACCCATTTTGGGATGTTTATTTCTGCCATACAGTCCACAAATTCAAACATTTTCTTGTGGAAAAACTATCTGACAAATATGGTTTAGTGTGTTTATTTTACTTACCAATATTTATTTTCTTGTGTGGACTACTTTTGAAATGATCTACTCAAAAGCTTATTATCCTCAGGGGAAAATAACTACCTCCCTAGAATGTATTCATTTTCCTGGTAGATTTCCCACATGAAGACAGACGGGCCTAATCTGTGCGCTCATGTTGACTGATCCATCTGCAGCACGTGATTTGTGCACGTGTATTTGACAGTTATGCACAGAATATTTGTACTTGTGCAGTTTGAAATGTGCCCAATTGAAAAACCAATGCATACAAATCTTGTATACGTGTGTGACTATCGGTACTTTTGAGACGATTTTATCTCCATGCACAGGAAGTAATAAGTGGAAGTACATCTGCAACTAATTCTTGTTTGAAGTGGACCTAATTTAAGTTGGCTAATAAATAAATTTGTTCTAGAAGTGTGCTGCTTGGGGTGGCTGCATGTTGAAGCAGCTCTGTTACATTCATTCTGAGATTTGGCTTTTGAAAACTTTAATTCCTCTTGCTGGATATAAATCACATTTTTTGGATGATTGTTTCCTCTCGTAGGCAGCACGGTGGCGCAACTGGTAGAGCTGCTGCCTCTCAGCAAGCAGGTCCCTGGTTCAAACCCCGGTCCAGGGGCCTTTCTGGGTGGAGTTTGCATGTTCTCTCCGTGCATGCGTGGGTTTTCTCCGGGTACTCCGGTTTCCTCCCACAGTCCAAAAACATGCATGTTAGGCTGATTGGTAACTCTAAATTGTCCCTAGGTGTGAGTGAGAGAGTGAATGGTTGTTTGTCTCTATGTGGCCCTGTGATGGACTTGCGACCTGTCCAGGGTGTACCCCGCCCCTCGCACAGTGATTGCTGGACATGGGCACCAGCGACCCCCGTGACCCAAAATGGAATAAGCGGGTAAAGAAAATGGATGGATGGATGTTTCCTCTCGTATCGGATGCTGTGCCGCTGGAAGGATTTTTACTGAAACTTTTAGTTTTGGACATTTGTTATGATGCGTAACCATGGCAACAAGGCAGTTTTCTACAACCAACAGCAGCTGATAAACATCTCAAAATCTCAAAGAATATCTCCGCTACAGCCCCAAATCTGAAATGAGTTGAAAAGGAGGTGACGAGGATGCATTCCCATCTCCCTTCTGGCTGTGCTCAAGTGCCTGACCGCTAAGATCCTGGTACTGGCAGGAAACATGGCTCGTGACAGCAGAAGGACTGGGATCGTTCCCCGGCTGCTGTCCACAGCGTCAAGGACCTCGGCAGGTTGCTGGAAGGAGTGGCCATTGCTCTGGGAGGAGTTCTGCCTGGCATTTGGGCGGTCCTGCAGTGCGGGGGAACCAAGAGGCCAGCCGAGTCTGGCTGGACGGATCGGACGGCATCTGCGGCCAGTTTCTTCTGATCTGCTGTGGGGCAGACCTGAACAAGAGATCCTTCTTACCTACAGCCATCAGCATCTATAACATCTCTTAAATATATGAGGACAACTAGTTACAACATTTAATTGCCCTTTGGGATTAATAAAGTATTTTTGAACTGAATCAAATTGAATTCAAACCGAAAATGGCTCTAACTCAGTCATTTGGACAGATTTTGAGCTAATTACTCAATTACTATTACTCATCAATATTACTTGAGTTTTGAGTCCACTTTGGTATTTTGAGCTGAAGTTAATCTTGAAGTAGTCATTTACAGACGGGGTTTGAAAAACATTTTCTCAACATAAGGAGTTTGAAGTTTAAAGGCGGTGGACGATGTGTCTTTCAAGGAAATCATTAAATTATTTAGAAAATGCAGTAAAGAACTCTGGTTTATTGTAACAAAATAAATAAAGTCCCAAAGATGAATATAAACTTGCTTTTATTAAAGAAATGTAATAAAATCCTTTGTACACGACCTCTTCACTGAGGTTTATTGTGTCCATACATGCAACTCTCATGTTGGAGGTACCAACAGAATAACTGGAAAAACCTAAAACCAGACTGGGTCCAAAGTTTTGTCAGGCCATCTGAACCGGAGTTCATCCAGAGCTGCAGTTCGGTTCATCAGCAGATTCACATGCACTTTATGTGGGTTAAAAAGAATAAGAAGACGTGTCGTCACATTTTGTTTCTTCGGGTGATAAAAAAGTTTCCGTCTACAAACGTTTGAGTTGTTGCTCTTCTTCCATGTTTGGCTTCTGCAAAATGCATCAAACACAACAAAAGCTGTGGTGCTTCGGTGTTCAACAAAGCTTGAATTCGAACCGAGTGTACAAATTGTAAACCAGGAGTTCAGTTCAAACTTGATTTTCTTTCAAATCTAAAATGTTGAGCGTTCTTTTAATTTTTCAACAAAATGGCACTAAGTGATAAGAGGCAGACTTCATTAAAAAAAAAGGGTTCTTGTCAAAGAGTGGCAGTTTAAAGAAATCCTCTATTTGAGTCAAAACAAACATGAAGTAAATACAAAGGTTGAACGTCAGGCTTCGTTTTGGACGACCGCCGCTTGACGTTTTGTCCTTTTCAAAGTAAAAACTGGAATACTGCGCTGCCAGTTCGATGGATTCTTAACGTTACTGATCGAAGCTTGTCCTAAATATTCTGACACTGAAAGTAGCCTTATAATAAAACAAGAAAATGACTTTACCTCACTAAATATATTCATCCAACTTAAGGTTTCACCACAAAAATATGTCTTTAAAGGATTCAGATGACTAAGTACCTCAGGGATTTGCTTTTGAATCATGGCTTTTTTCTTCTTCTTCTTCAAAATATAAAACAATAATTACAACGGTTCATCCATGTGTCATCTAATGTGGATTCATGCCCAAGTTCTTCAAGCTCCACAGACTTTCATTTATTCCTCCAGGTGAATTTAATTTTAGTTGCATTGCCAAGACGCCAAAATGCTCCTTAAGGCACTACAAGAGGCAAATCCCCTGTTCCCAGAAAAGTCTTGCTGCGTCATTGCCCTCTGTTAGTGTGACGGGTTTGTTGACCATATGAGCACTTGTTGACTCCCAGGCATGTGTGTCTGAGCTCATGTCAAGGCTGTTGCCTCCACGATGCCAACGTTTGGGGGTGGAAGTGGGGTGTGGGGCAGGTCCTACAGAGTCGCTGTTTCCATCCAGACGCACCAGTAAGATTCACAAACCACCTCTGCAAAACCAAGAGACGAAGAAAGAGGGATTAAGTCAAAACCTGCAGGTGTGTTTGTGGTAAATAAAGTCTCGCCCCCCCCACTCCCCACTGCCTGGACCTGGTGGAGTAAGACAACGTGAATGAGATCAAAATCACTTTGGTTAGATAGAGTCATCGTATATAGTCATCCTCTGTTTCACTCTGCGCCATCTGTCTTCTAACTGCATCCATAGATCTCCTCTTTGTCTTTTTCCTGGCAGCTACATTTCTAACATCCTTCTACCAGTATACCCACTGTCCCTCCTCTGGACATGTCCAAACCATCTCAGTCTGGTCTCTCTAGTTTTATTTCCCAGTTGTTCCACCTGTGCTGTACCTCTGATGATCTCATTCCTAATCTTCTCCATCCTTGTCACTCCTAAAGAGAACCTCAACATAGTCATTTCTGACACTTCCAGTTCTGTCTCCTGTCTTTTTGTCCATGTTTTTTTTTTTTTTTTTTTTTT